AATAGAAAACATATTTCAATCCAAATGAATTATTTAATAGTATAGAAAATTATTAATAATTATAAACAAGACGATTGTTCCACCTATACATTTAATAATTTCATATTTAAAATTATATATTTATATTTTTTTTTGTATTTAAAATAGAATATTTAAAATTTTTAGCTTCTCTATAATAAGCAAATGGGATAAATAAAAATATTATAAAACTTTTCAGTTTGAATACAAATCATCCTAAAAATCCATGAAAAATAATACATACATTGGCATTGGTTCTTTGGTCCAGTCTTTAATCCACAATGACCCATCATGATTTGCATTAGTCAATTTTCCTTTTAAAATTATATCCATTCTATCTCTGTCTATTTTATTTATACATTTATCTTGACATTTTTTAATATACTCCCTAAAAAAAAAAAAAATTTAAATAAATATATTCTTAATACAAAAAAAAAATTTTAATTACCTCAAACTAGAAGGACAATTATCAGGTAAATCAAAGGTATTTTGTTTCTTTTGAACGGGTTGAATTTCTTTGGGTGGTGGTGGTGGTTGCTGTAGCGTTGGTTTGCTGGGAACTATAGGAGTAAAAGAAAATAAAGAATTTGATATTGTTTGTTTTGGAGTAGGAGGAGGAGGTTGTGAAATAGGAACAGGAGGAACAAAATTAATAATAGGATACATGGGAGGGGCAATTTGTGTAGTTTGGTTAGCCATAGCTGCCTCCATTAAGTTCCTTTGTTTTTTTCTCCATTTTTTTCTACCATTTTTAGTTTGAGGCATGGGAGGTAAGGATGATACATTTGGTTGAGGTGCTAGAAATATATAGTTTATATTTTAATTTAATAAAATCAATATATCTCAATATGTGGTTTATACTTCGTTCCACGGGAGATGTAACTATTTTCACACATTCAACTGTTATCAGAAAAAGCATGGAGTCCAAATTCTCCCCCTCCCCCTCTTACCAACTGACAGGGAGCCAAAAAAAAAAATGGGACCAATCACACATTTAATGATCATAATCAAACAGGTGCAAGTGGTGAGAGAAGAGCAGTACAGACAAAAATGAGTTCTTCTCTCGTAGAACATGGTATATCAATGAATTATGATGTACATTGTACATAATAATTATATAAGTATAGTATGCAGTCAAAAATATAAATATTTTTTTATATATTAACTAATGTAATTAACTATTTAACAATGATGTTTTTCGTTGGCTGGTCAGTTCGCGGTTAGCCCAGTTTGCCGTCTCCAGCATATTTACTGAGCTAGGGGAACAAGGCAACCGGCCGGAAAAATGTGATCATCTATTTATCTATTTCGACAATAAATAGTGATTCCAAGAACCAATAAAAATTATAAGGATTGTAAGGAGACAACGACATACAATTCACAACATTTTATCAATGGGTTATAGAGCTTAGAAACCTACATGACAGCTGTTGCCTTAGAAATAGTATTCTGAGAAAAACTGTGCTGCAATTACTGAATACAAGTTATGATAATTTAATTGCATAGCCATAGCCGCCTATTTGAAAAACCAATGACCTATATAATTAGATAAAATACAAGATAATAAACGCTACCTCTGGTTTTTTTTTATCGTATTTCAATTCAAAATTTTTTTTCAATAATATTTATTGTATATAAATTATATTAATTTAATTAATGAAAAAAATGTTAGGTATTTTGTTAATGTAATGATGAAGATCCTGGTTCCCTCAACTTGGACATACCTTGCAGGTTAGGTAAAAATACTAAACTATAAATTATAATAATATTAATTTTAAGACATAACACAAGAGGGCGTTAAGATAAAATATGTATGCCAAGTGATCCATTTAACATAGGTACAACACTCATTATTTCTAAGAGTTTTAAGGTTTTTGAATAAAATATGGTATGGTTTCTAGTGTTACAAAACAATATTTTTAACTTTTACTTTTTCAAATGATAACATACAGTATTATATCATGTCCCAAAGCAGAATATATTTTCCAAATATTAAGAAATGTTCTTGGAACTTTTACTTCTGATCCCTTTAAATACCAACTATATTTATTTTCCTATTAGAATAGATGCTGAAATTGAAAATTTAAACATTTTTTCTACTATACAATTTTCTTTAGATACACAAAAAAGAGAATGAAGGCAACAAAATTGATAAATACATTCATCAGTGCTCAGAATCTAAAATGTATAGTGATTTATAAGTATTCAATAATACAATAATGATAATAATGTGGATATCCTAGCTGTAGTATTTTACATTTGTTCATTGCATACTTTACTCATATTTATAGTTTGATAGATAGTCCACAAAATAGCTGTAGGCCACATACTGGAAGGTAGCCAATAAAATTGTATATTTTCTATTTAGGGGTTTTATGATACATAACTATGATCATACTTTTGATCTGAGTGGGGTCCACTGTATTCATAACACCACCAATGTGAAATGGAATGCCACTCTTATATAAAATATAATATAGTAGATACCATGTACAAACAATACAAAAGAAGTATTTAGCGGCATTGATTAATTGATCAACACATTTTACAACAATTATATTACAACGCATATTAATTTGAATATAAAATTGTAACTGTAAGGTGTATATAAAAAGGAATAATTTAAACTTACGTAGAGGCACATCACATATTCCAGGAGCTGGTGGTGGAGAACCAGGAGGTAAAGGTGGAAGTTTATCTAAATCATCACCATCAAATTGAGGTGGAGGGGGTTGTGAAGGAGCTGGTCCATTTGGCAGAGGAGGAGAGTTTTCTTGTGAAACAGCACCAGTTTCTAGTGTGCCTGAAAATATATCAAAATATATATTATTTTATGAAATAATTTAGTAAAATTAATACTTTACCTCCATGAACAAATGGTTTGAAGTTAAAATTTAATGATTGACTGGGAAAACTTTGAAATCCTTGCTAAAAAGTAAAACAAAATGGTATGTATAAGGATAAGAAAAAAAGAACAGTAATTGTTTGTAGTTAAATTTTAAGCCATACCTGATTATAGCATTGTGCAGCATAAAATGCATTCATGTTGTACATTTGAGGTCCCGTATAACTAAAAAATAAAATCAGTATTGATATTTAATACAAATATTATTATAAATAAATAATTCACGTAGCAAGCTTTAGTATTTCATTTAAGTCAGTTAATAATATAACTATTTCATATTATGTAGCACTTACTTTCCATAAGACCAGTTCATTGGCTGAGGCCAGTTTGGATATTGATTATTAGTACCAGGAGTTCCTGGATTTTGACTCTGATCTGCCATAACTAGAATTAACAATGAATTTAGTTAAAAATAAAATACTTATATATATTGTACCCATCATTTTAATAAAAATGTCGGTTATTGTATTCCAGCGGCCAACACAAGGTAATAACAAAAATCCTAATTTTATAATCTGAGTCCAAATTATATAGTACCTTTTTATTTTAATTTCATCAATCTGTGTGAAATAAACACATAAAATATTGAACGTTTAAACTTTAAAGCAATCACATCAGACTGGAATAAAAATAATTTGAGAACTTGATTTATTTTACCAATACTCCAATATTTGTGAATTTCTTTGAAATAATACATAAATAAATGTGTAAAATTCATATCTCCTTCAGAAATAAATTTATATTTAGGCATTTATCATTATTTATGTTTTTTTCTACATTTTATAAATAGGTAAACATTCTACATTTATTCATTGTCTTACAAAATGAAGTATAGTATTAGTAACTAAATAAACTATATGTGTGTATGTCAAGACATTTTAGAACATTGAAGAAATACAACATTATTTATACTTAATTACAAATATGTAGGTAGATACTTAAGGTTTAACAATTACATCATATTTTAATATTGTTCAACAATTATTAAAAATTAAAATCAAGTATTAAAGTAACATTTTCGAATGAAAATTAAAAAAACTAAACTTTATAATTAATGATGAATTCAAAGTTTAATTTAAAATAATACCTATTTATTATTCATCGAAATATATAAATGAGCATTGAGTTTTTACACTGTAAAGTTGGGAATTACTTTAGAGAGGTCTTTTCTTGAGACATTATTTTTCCATATTATATTTATTCAAATAACTCTTCATTTGAGATATTAAAATGTATAAATTACCAACTGAGAATTCATAGTACTTTGTGTCTATAAATGAAAAAGGTTTATTAGGTCGGTGCCTGGTTATTCCTTGCATTAAAATGTTAAATTCTTCAATTGTTTAACAGAAATAATAAATGCATAGCCAACCAAGACCACAGAAAATAGACTTACGTTATGTAGGTCATTGATAAAATAAATTTTTATTATAAAATCTATGTAGTTTTCCTACGTTTAAAATCGATATGTTTACATTCTCAGACAACCAGTGACTGTCATTGACAGATGCTAATTTTAATGATGACTTTAAAACGTGTACAAACCTCTGCGGCGGTGAAATGTTTGATTTTGTTGGTAGGTAAGTTAAAAGAAAAACGGGCGTTAAAAAAACTGCCACACAGGGATATTCGGGTCGTTTAAAAAACTGTTAAAAATGACGAACTGGATTAAAAACAAACGATCGGAAAATGATGCATATTAGACGACAACATAATTGCGATCCACAATAATTATACTGTTGAACTGTTAGTGTAAAAAGTCCTTTTCGGTACGCGAACCTGCGAAGGTGTACTGACGCATATGATGCTGCGCACTGCGCCGATGCAGACTGATGCGGAGGAGAAATGGAAAACAATGTTCGTTACCCAATGATTCTAACAATCTGACGACCTCTCGATCGAGTAACGACGGACGGACGGACGACAATCATAAAAAAATTAAATCCGACATTCCCACAATCACTCCGTTCACAATCTAGCAATGAATTCGAGAGTCGAGGTGTCCGACATTGGCAACGTCGCACGGCGATGTTTCCAATTACATTATGTACGCGGCTGTAGAGTCTTTGGTTAGGTAGGAACGCACGTGCGCCGGTTATTATGATATTTTACGATGATAACGTCGTGTTCACAAGTTACAACTGTCCAACAATCAACAATCTTGCATTCTTGCTAGTTAATACTAAAGTATTATAACTTCTAAGGCCGTCAAAATGTTGCGAAACTCAAAACTATATAGTTGTTTCGAAAAGCTTAACGTTGATTATCCTGAAGGTGAAATTGTGCAGATCAATGATGAATTCCGAAAAGTAAGTTGTAATTCTTAGATGTGATACTCGCCATAAAAAAATCCTTACCTTAAATTGAATTACCCCTCATCACCTGTACTTACACTTAAATATTCCCGATATGGCTGTGTAGGTACATTTTCCCTTTACAATATATCTAATATTTTGTTTTATTTAATCTGTATTTACATCAGCACTAGTACTCAACTTTATTTGGAGCTACAATATATCTCATTGTAATTATTTTAAATTTGATAGTACCAACCTATATGTAGGAACAAAATAAATAAATAAAGTATTAATCTTTGTAAATTTTAATACTTATTGTCTTAATTGTATCAATTATTTTAGGCAGTTGAAGAGATATGTGATGCATTACTCCATACAAAGATTGGATTTTCCAGTGTTACCCAAGATTCACAAATGATGTATATTTTCAGATATTCATCTTCAATAATAACACGTTTTCTAAATGCTGATAATGATGAACCTGTGAGTTAAAAAAGTGAAATACCTAATGAAACTAGTGAACCAAAAATTGTTCTGCCATATGTTTGTATGGAGAGCATCCTCCGAATGTATTCCAAGTATACTCAATGGTTTTATAGATTGTCCTAAGTTTATTTTAGCTAAAATTAACTTAAAAGTTCCATCTTTTTACTAAGAAATAAATCCTCTGGGATTTTGTTATCCCAGTTATGCCACATCTATTTAGTAATAATCATTATTCAAACAGTCATTTTTGTTGTATCTTACATTCTGGCAATGAAATTTATGATTTAAACAATTTTTCTGATGATATAAATTAACTAAAATCATCAATTTAATTAATGCTTAATGTACAAACTGTTCACTATTTTTAGCTTAACTACCTATCTAATTTATAACTTCATACATCAGTGGTGAATGAAATTACAACTAAAAGTTCTAATAGTTTGATTGACCCACCCACCCCTTCAAAGGGCATTGAAACAGACATCAAAAAGTTATGTCCAGTAAAAGATCCAGGATGATTTTTTTAAATATGCCCACCACCATTTTTTCCTTTAATAGAATATTTATTCAAAATCTGATAATTAGAATTTTTGAGTATACCTACCTAAAGACCATATTTTCAAATTTATGATATTTTTTGTACTACTTGAGGAGTACCCTCTGGCGGTGCAAACTTCTATTATTTTTTAAATGAGACCCCCCCCTTTGTTTAAAAATTATTTAACCAATGATATTTTTAAAAATATTGATGTAGGTATCTTAATTAAAATTCTTGTGAGTAGTTTCTGAGCTATTAAAATGCTTATACTAAAGATAATAATCCTCAAAAATGGTTTTATATATATAGAAACTGTATGTAATGTGAGATGTAGTATTTATTTTATTTTGATAATTTTTACAAATTATTTATATTGATAAATCAATATACTCTGTTCACGTTATGAAGCGACTCAGGCGGCGACTGGGTTTCGTCAGTGATGGTCAGACACTTCTCCCACCCAATGACTCGTTACGCTAGCGCTGGGGAACGAAGCCATACCCATGCACAGAAGTCGGCCGCCGAGGTCGCTTCTAAACGTCATAGCAATTGCTAACTTTTTCAAATCGTTGAAGCTCCCTATTTACTAAATCCATTACCATAGTCATATTATTCTAAGAACACTAAGTTACATTACTCAAAAACTACTTGCTTGAATTTTGATTTAGGTACATCAAAAAATGCTCAAAAAAATATCTGTTTAATAATTAAGAATGAAAGAGTGAGGTTAGAACCTATTTGAAAAATTGAAATTTGTATCATCACAGCATCATCCTTAAATGGGACAAAAAATGATCTTGAAGTGTATTTAAAAATTCCCTGAAAACTGAATTTTAAAATATGCATAGTTTAAGCATAAAAATAGGGTGTTCATGCTTACAAAATTATCCTGTGTATACATATATTGTATCATTTAATGGCATTCCTGTGTTTAATACAATTATAACAGAAATACTTAGAAGGTATACTTTATCAGTTTACCCACCCAATTTTTACTACCTGAAGTCCTAAATATGTGTTCAGCACCATTGATAATATACGTATTAATTCTATGTTCATACCCTTTGGGAAATATAATTTCAGAAAAATGTGTTTAATTTTAATTTCCATTAAAAACTTTTTCCAGCTTGATGTCTCAAATTTTACTGTATTTATGAAATTTATTCGACTTATTACAAAGCTTAAAACTTTGGTAATATCAGAATTCATTGATAGCTGTTTTATGAGAAAAGATGACCTCGATTCAGTTGTATTTAACTATAACAAAGAACAGAATATATGCGATACTTATAAATCAAAACTAAAATACTTTGAAACCAACTCCGATGAATCAGAAATATACTTGGTAAATGAGTATTTTGTAAGTAATCAAAACATTTTAACATAACTATAAAAAAGAAAAGTGTATATTTTCTAGTTTATAATGATCTGTTTAATTGATTTTCAGACATATTTTCTATTTGAACATATCAGAATGCTATCAAAATTAAATAACAAAAATGTACCTCTAGAAAAAAATATTAAGCTCTTATTAGAAGTTGCTAATGATGAAATGTTGGTTAAACATTTCCATGTTATTTCAGATATTCTTCCCCAAACAACAAAATTACTTATTTTGAAAAAAATTACAAATTGTATTGCCAAGCCTGAGTTTAATTTACAAAGTTGTGAATTTCTGAAGTCTAAAAATAAAGATTACAAGTAAGAGCTCTAATATAGAGCTATCAATTTTTATTCATTATATATAATACTTATATTTGCTAAAATTTAAAGACCATATTTATGACATTTACCTTGTTTATCTTTATAGGTTAGAAATGTGTGCTGTAACCTTTTTTACGCTTCAGAACATTTGTGAAGAATTAGAAAATCGAAAAATTAAACAATCATCACAAATTTTATCCAAGTTTAATGTTGAAAGTATTATTTCTTTAATTGATTCACCTTTTGATGACCTTTTTGAAAAAACTTTTGAAGAATCAGCAAAACGTATTACATTTTCTGAATACCAAAACATCATAGATTTTCCTTCAGAGAAAATCAAAAAGTATGTTCTTTTGTTTTTTTATAATGATAATTTATTATACATAGGTAATTCAAATTTAAATTTCAAAATTAAAATTCTGTAAAGATATTCGACACTCAATTATTTGAATGGAGGATACTTGTTTAATATCCTACTTACATAAAATTAAATGTATAATATTTTTCTTTCTTGGCCATGCTACTCTCTTTGTCATTTAAACCATCTTTACAATATCCCACTACTTTCCTCTGTCTTACACTACTGCATGCCAATTTTCTATATCCTTAGCATTCAGATCTTCTGTCAATCCATCTCTTTCTGGTGTTTCCTCTTAGATTTCCTTGAGCTTTCCGTTTGAAAGCCACCTTTAGATTGCTTCTTTTTTTACGATATGGCCTAAACATTGGATTCTTTGTCCTTTGATAAAGTTAGTTTCTGGTGCCTAGTCCATAATTTTTTGTAGTTCCTTATTGTATCTTCTTCGCCAACTTCCCATATTCGTGCCAAACACAGGGCCACAGATTTTTTGTCATGTCTTGTTATGTACATTATTAAAATCAATAACATTAATTCACCACTGCTTTGTCAAAATAATTCTTATTTTGAACATTAAAGGATGGGTCTATTTCAAGTCATGCTAAAATGGCACAAACACATTTTGCATGCTCACTGTGGCACTATTTTTACTTCAATTGACTTAAGAAAAATTATTTTTTGAAACCATTATGAAGAGATTTGCAAAGCTCCCAAATTATTCCCTCTCTGTACACGTGTCTCAATTTAATAATAAAGTGGTTGGCCAGTAAAATGTTTTGTTTTACCCAAGGCCACCTAACACATTACATTAATTACTTAAACACCCAGAAATAACTATTACTTTTTTAAATTGAAGCAATTAGTTTAGATTTGTAATTATTCTGTTGATAAATTATATAATATTTTTTTTAAAATTATTTTAGGTGTCTAAAAATCTTAGAATTATTATGTATTTCGTTAAGAGGTCATCAAAAACAAATTCATAACAGTCCGTTTTCAATTGTACTTTTATCCGTACTTTCTGATTTTATAATGGCTACTAATCTTGACAATTCTACTATTATAATGTTGATTGAAATTATTATTGGTAATTATATTTAAAATATTTTCAGCATTCTTAAAATGTTATTATTAATCATAACATTTTTATCATTTAGGCTTTTTAGAAATCAGTAGACTTCCTATGCATTTCCTTGCAGTATCTTTTGCGTTTAATATTTATCAAAAATGTAAATCTAATGAAGAGCTGGGATATAAATTGATACATTTATTTAAAAGTATTTCAAACAGTATAAACAAACAATATGGATTACAAAAACAAGGGATAATAAAGGATTTGAAAAAATGTATAAAGGTTGACAAAAATTGTGTAGATAAAGCAATTCTAATATCATGTTTCTTGAGTGATATTCCTGTAAGTGTATATTACTTGTCTTAAAATTAACTCTATTGTTATTTGCATTTTCTAAATCAATATTTAACCTATACCGTAGTATATTTTTTTTAATAATAGGATGATTTATTAAAAAAAAATTAAATTGATGACATAATTATTTTTTAATTATTTACTGTATATTGAATATAATATATTAACAAAATTCTTTTATTTTAGGAAACACATTTGATTACAAATACAGTCTACATTGAATTTAATTATGCTCTAAATGAATTTGTATTACTTTCTTCTTCCAACTACATCTCAGAAAAGCATCTTTTAGTTTATCCTTACGCTGTATCATTGAATTTTTCAATAGTAAATCAAAATGAAGATTGTTTATTCAACAATTTATCTATACTTGAAGACTACATTACCATTTTAGTAATAATATTTTAAATAAATGTATTATTATTGTATAATAGAATAAATAATGAATAATTATAATCAATCTGTATTATATTTTTTATTTTTAGTTCAACAAAGATGTAAAAGTGCGTTTGGAAGATAAAAAATTTCTCTTAAATACTATTTGTAAACATTATGAAGTGGTTGATCATTGTTTACCAAAAAAGTTCTTATTAAAATGTTGGGAATATGTATTAAACCCTATTAACATGGATGATAATATTTCTAAAGTATTATTAAATTTATGTTCTTCTAATGATTTAATACAATTCATAAGTATTTTGAAAATTGAAACAGTAAGATGTTATTTGATAATTTATAATTAGTATTGATGTTGTAAGTATCTTTTTTATTTTTTATAAATATATATTTCTTTTTTAATTAGAAGTTTTAAACCCATATTATACTTCAAATATTGTGTTTCAACTTAGTAAAATAATTTAATTAATTATTTTAAAGATTCTACAACATCTAAATTCTTGACATACATACATTAATCCTTGTACCTATATTAAAATGAATTAACTTTTTTATTAGATAAAAATCATTGAAGGAAATGAATCAGTTAAAAATCAAGATTATTATGAATATATTCATAAACTGTGGTCATTTTTACTAAACATTTCATTTTTCAATCAAAAAAAAAAAATTCGCAAGGATCACATAAATCATTTTTGTTTTGTTTTAAATAGAACTTGCTTATTTAACACAAAAAAAATTCAAACAGAACAAGGTTTAATTTTATTATTAAAATTAGTTTGTTCATTACTGCAAATACCCTGGGTAAGATTTATTAATTAGTTGGTTTATTAATCCTAAAATAGTTCAATGCATGCTTACTCAATTTATTCAAATTTAATGGAACTCAAGTTGTATTTTTTATCTTCGATTACTTAATAATAATTTTATTATAATTGGAGTCCAGATTTTTTTAATTTTATCAACAAAAATTACAAATATTGCCTTTTTAGTACATCTTTATGCATATTGATTATTTTTATATATTTTTCTAATTTTTAAGAAAATACAAGTAAACTATTAATAAGTTTTTGTAGAGATTATTATCATTGTATTTCAACTGTTATTGAAATTAAAAATTAGAATCGTAGTTATTTATCTATATACTATACATACACATTCAATTTAATAATTAATAAATATTTTAAAAATAACTCAACATTATGATAAGGATAATAAACTCAATTTTATATTTATTAATAAATGAATCAACTCTAACGTTGACTCAAAACAATACCAAATATCTATATTCATTTTTCTACTTTTACTTATTTGAAAGCTTACAATTCTCATGTTTTATGTACTGTGTACTGTAAAAAGTAGGAAACATTGTTTGTTAATTACCTATCTCATAATATCTAAGATATTAAATTTAATTGTTATTTCCCAAAAATATGTAATTAATGATTCCCTTCAAATAAAGATTTAGTCTTTAAATAAGTTCAAATTGTAGGTTCTCCTACTAAAAATTGAATTCTCCCTTGTGCGATTGGTTCTTGAATATGCCTCAGTAGTTTGGAGTCAATCGTTATCCACTCATATTTACGATCTTGATAATATCCAATTTTTAATTTTCAAAAAGAATTGCCTATATGGACAACCTACTCATATGACAATATCAAGAGACTTATCCTAGTTCAAAATTTAGTAAACTTAGACTCTCTTCAGCTAAGATGTCAGTTATTATTTAATATTATGTTTGTATATAACTTATTAAATTATAATATTGTATGCCCTGAGCTTTTAGCTCAAGTTAATTACCATATTCCACCTACTCTTCGAGAAATCATGATATTTTTGCCATCCCATCCTTAAATTTCAAATCAACTAATAACTCTTTTTTTGTTAGGGCTAATAAAACTAGCTAATTTAGTCTCTGCTGCCTCAGACTTTTTAACTTAATTTATTATACTTTTAGACTTTGTCAATTTTATTTAAAAAAAACAATTTTAGTTAGTCCTTGTTAATCTGTGACTTTTCTTATTATTTGTATTTTCATACACTTATATATTTTTTAATATAATTCAGTGTTTTACATTTATTTTATACATAATTGGTCTTTACGACATTCTCACTATAAAAGGGCCACTTTGAATTCTAAATAAATGAATAAAAATTGTATGTTATTTATAACTTTTATATCTTTCAATAATATATGCAATATTTTATACTCAATTTAGATCAACAAAACTACAATGATGAATTGTTCATTGAGAATAATGACTTTTGTCGAAAAAAGTACAAGCAAAGCAGCTCAATTACTTATAGAAGCTTCTGAACTAATGATAGTTCTTTATAAATGTCCAAATAATTCTATAAAACCATATTTAGGACTATATGTTACCACATTTTCCAACTTTTTAAAAAAATGTTTCTCATCTGTTACAATGGACATGTCTACAGACTCATCGTTGGATAAAAATTACTATATACCTTTCCACAAACTTGAAAAGTAATTAAAACATTGTGCAGACTATGAATTAATAGTATTTCTAATGTTTATTTTATTATTCAGATGTTCAAGATTATTCAAACAAAATAAAAGCGATTTTGATGTTATATGTCGTTATGTTATAGAAGACATAATTGAAATTGTTTCAAAAGAAGTTATTTTTATCGGCCCAATTATGGTTAGTTAAAAAATATATTAAACTGCAAGTCTGCAGATTATTAATTTCAAGTTAAAAAATTTTCAGAGACATTATTTTAATATCATCTTCAATTTTATGGACATCTGTTCATTTGATGAAATGAAGATGCTTATGTTTAATATTCAAGGACCTGATTTAATTATGTTAAGAAATGCATACACTGAGTACAGAGAAAATGTTAGATTTACTGGAAGACTTTAATTGTGCATGAATAAATTTTGAAATTGTTAACTGTTATTTTTTATACTATTGTGTCTGTATCATTAAAGTATTAAGTAAATACAATTATATTTATGTTCAACTCATATGATGCCTTTAATATTTACTTTCTATTGCAATAATATAAATAATATTATATTATATATTACATTTATTTTTAAAAATTGTATCAATTGCAAAAGTTTATCTTCAAAGAAAATAATTGATTTATCCTCAAACAGTTGTTTTAGCATAATATTTAGTATTTACAATCTATATAGTTTAAAGTTTTAATACTCTATGAACATTGTTAAGGTATTTTTTGGGCCAATTCATTTGAATACACTAATTGACAATTGCCAATATTATTGCCATAAGGCAACAGTATTAATATTTCATAATTTTGATGAGTGATTTTTAGTAGCAATTCATCAGATTACTTACAATTCATTATTTAAACAATAAATACTTTAAGAATTTGTATTTAATAAATCATAGCCTTAGACTATCTTAGTGCAGGACTACCACCAAAGAATAAAAATATACAATATTAATAATACAATATGGCACAATATGTTAAATAATTAGTCAGTCAGTTGATGTAATTTGAAACAAAATGTTGGAATTGTGGTGCAGTTCATGTTTTTTCAATGTAATATATTACCAAGAGGCCCTTTTACCCCGCTGTAAAAAAAAATTTGAAATGGCCGTTTAGTTTTTTATTTTATATGCAAAAACGATTTTGAAATTTGTTGAGTTGAATGATTGAAAACAAGCTATATTTTCAAAAATACCGCATAATATTGTAAAATAATATGGTTTTCACCACGGTTCCAAATAGACCGTTGTTTTGATCCTTTCTTAACTACTATCTAGTGTTAATCTGATAGGGTATAGGTAATTCGTTCTATGGTAAAATTCACACAATAATACATGACGTACTAACTAAATATTCACAAATGTAGTAATGTACCTAATTATGTATTATCCATGGTAACACTGATATAACATGCAATATATATTTTTTTACATAACATTGTTCAATATAATATATCCTCCAGCTCATGCTAAGTGTTGCTAATGGGTGACTTCTTAGTTTCTTACCCTCTTATTATCCTGCTTGTTTACTATCTTCAAATACGCTTACTGTGCTCTCAGTAGATATTGTGTGAAAAAAAAAGAATGTATCCTCCATGAATTGCTTTGCACAAGTTAATTTTATAGGCTCATGATGTCTACATGATGTAAGTAACAATACTAACGTTTCGCTGGGAAAATCTCGCACATTTTTACCGACAGCTCTAATTTACTTCGTTATGCGTAGATAATGCCATTATGAGCCAACAAGATTGACTTGCCCATAGCCGTCCATGCATGCCAAATTAAAGTTAATATCATATATTCATATGACATATATTTTTATGGCATTGCAAATTACAAGCATTGTGCTAATTTGTGCATCGTATTTTCGTATAGAAATATGAACATTATGAGCCTTCGTCGGGGAGTCAGAGTTCCCGGTGGCAATCAGAACTGGTGTAAATTTTTCAATAAATTTTTAACCAGAGTGCTTACACCATAGATTAATTATTACTCTCTAGCTCACATCCTTTGATCACGTATATTATAATATTGTATATATAATTATAATAATATGATCTAAGCTTGCAATTAAGTTCTATTTAACCACCTTGATATAAAATATAAATATTATGTTATCAAAGTTTAAATTTTGATAATGTACATTGAATTGATATCAATACTGATAACATATTAACATTAAATATCATTTTACAAATATGTACACATCATTAGAAATGTATCAAATATTATTTACTTCTTCCTAACTTAATTGTTAATTTTTTATAATTTTGAATTATATTTAAGTCTTTATTAGCATATATATATGTGTGTGTTGCATTTTATTATAATAAACTAGACAAAATGTCTCATAAAATCACATTTTAACGGACTGTCATTTAGCAAAAAGTATGAGTTGGTTTAATCAGTTTGACGCTTCTGGGTTTGCAAGTCTCGCGAAGACAGCTCTTAAAGAAGCGCAAAAGACGATTGATAAAGCTTTGGACATTAAAGACGAAGATGAATGTGAAGAAGTATCCCAAGAGTCTGGAACTCCAAAAGACATTGATAATCAAGATCCTCAACAAAAGATATCTAAATTGGGTTCAAGTTTGTGGAGTTCATTTACTAACTCGGTATTTGAAAATGAAGATGATGTTGCTGACAAACAAAATGGTGTGTACCATATATACTAATAAGTATTAGTATTTATCAATTATGAATATTATGTACCTAATAATTATGAACTTTTTCATTGATCATTTTAATAAAGTAAATCTATGAATAAATTATTTGTTAATATAATGATAATACAGCAGTAATCTAAATAGATTATTTTATAAATATGAATGTAAAAATTATATTTTTGATGTTCATGTCTTCAATTTTTCATTATAGAAATGAGGCAAAGCATGTCGTTAGATTTATCCAAATCACCTGCAGAAAATGATTTAATTGTAGCAAATCAGCCAGCTAGATCTACAGGACAATCACCATCCACACAAGATGAACAATTTAATGTTATTGAAATTGATTCAGAATTAAACACTGATGTGGTTCGGAGAACTAGGAGTACAAGTTTTAACAATACTAATCGTCTTTCTGCTGTCAGCTGTGATAGTGATCGTAAATCTACAATATCTACTGATAGTGTAGAAGTTCTTGGATCAACATCAACTACTACACCTGAGTCGTCATCTGTAGAAGTCATAACATCAAGTTCAGTTGAAGTTTTGGCTGTTATTACTGAACCAAATAGGTTAATATTATATTAATTTAAGAATAAAGTGCACAAGAGAAAGCTTGTCTAATCAGAATTTTGAACATTTAGATGTTAAGGTAGGGTTGCCATTCGTCCCGATTTCGCCAGGGCACTACCGGTTTTTACTACAGAGTCCCGATATTTTTCATTTCCCGGCCGGGACGTGGATAAGTACCGGTTTCTTAAAATAAGATTTAAACAATACACATATTAGTAAATACTAAATAAGTAAGACCACTCTGTTTTAAATTAAAAATTGTGTACCTAATTAATTTTTTTAGATAATTTAAAATTATATTTATGAATAAGATAATAATAATACTATTATTACATTTTGTGCTATTTCTAATTTTTGACTTTTTTATTTATTATAAATCATAATATGATAAAAATATTAAATAACGTTGGACTAAAAAAGGTATTATTAAAAATTCCAAAGAATGTGTTGTGGGGGGGGGGGTATTATAGTGTCCCGACTTATATTTTTGTATAAATGGCAACCCTATGTTAAGGTCTACAGCTCTTTCAACGATTAGATGTTTAGCCTCCAAAATATACCCTTCAAAGTTCATACATCTTCAATTTAGATAAATTGTATTATAATTAAATGATAATTTAGGTTTTCATTGCAAGACAGTAGGTTATGTGGTACACAAAATAATAAATTCAAAATATTTCGTCAAAATATCTTATCTAAATACTTCGGTCGAAGTTAATGTACCTTTTTTTATGCTATATTATTTTAAATATGAAAATGAGTAACTTTTTTAATTGTAATTAAAAGATACAATATATTTTCTATACTATACTCAGTCTAGCGAGAGAACTCGGCAATTCTGCATCACCTACTCGACACCCTGCAATAGAAACTGATTTTACTGACAGGATATCACGTTGGTGATGCGCAGATGAACTGATTTTTTTTCAACTGCTGTGTATTTTATCGCAGACTATATTTAATTTATTATTTAGAAAAATACATATTTGTAGTATCATATAATCTTTATATTACGTATTGAAATGCCCATTAAATTACAATTGTTTACAATAATTTCAATAATTCTAATAAAATAGGGTTTAAACATCAGCCAAAGTAAGAGAAAAATGTAAAAACTTTCTTTGTTGTTAATTTTTACTTTTCTTTAGTTTCTTATTTTTAACTACTTTAAAAGTGATTAAACACATTTATTTTTAGGGCAAATGATAGACAATATTCTCCAGATACAATAGAACCAATTCCGGAATTAATTGAAGACGATGATAGTCTTACTTGCTCAATATCAGATAATGTAACATGTATGGCTAACGAAGATAGTTTAATGCCACAACATGGAGGAATGTTACTGTTAAAATCCACAACCTCATCTTTAGATACTTCTTTTACCGAATTATCATCACCTCATGAAGTAAATTTCTTATACAAAATAATAGTTTTAGATTCCGAGAGGAGAGATTAAAAGTACTTTTGTACTGTACAGTTGAACAGTTACTTATTTTCCTCCATTTTTTCAATATGATTAATACTTATTTTTAATTTTTAGAATTCTGGAGCATTAGATATACTAGAAGAAGAGTCTATTGAACCAAATTCTAATAGAAATAGTGTTATACTACAAACAAGTTACATAGAAACCTTCGAAAATTTAAAGAATGTCCAAAATAGTATGAATGTTATAAATACATTAAACACAAGTAACTCATCAATAGATTTGTTAAAAGTATCTGATACTACTTTAGAAAGCAGCAGTTGTGATGATGGTAAATATTATTTTATCAAATACATTTAAAAACTGAAATCTGAAAATAAGTATGACAATATGATATGTATTAATATTTTATATATTATGTAATATGTTACTATAGAAACCATGGTTGGTAGCACAATAGATGCAGCATCTTTAAATGAAGAACGTGAACCATCACCACAAGCTTCTATTGATAAGTAAGTTAGTTATGAATAAACATATAATTACTCAAAAATTGATATCATTTTGAGTTAACTTTTAACATTTAGTATACAAATTATGTATTAACAAATTACATGATAAATATTTATTAACATTAATTTCAACTGTTAGAAATCAAAAATGCCAGTACTATAAATTAAATGTTTGTGAATTACATTATACTGCAGTTATTAATAGATCATAAAATATAAAAACACTGCATAGTTTAAATGTTCAGCTTGGAATAATATTTATTTGACATTTTAAATTTATCTACACTATAACCTACAAAATGCAAATAACATTGATTCAAACATAATT